ATAATATCTATGAAATCATTTTTTAACTATGCTAGTTATTTTTTTGTAAGACACAGGAAAATAAATTTATAATTATTAAAATTTAAGAAAATGTTCATCTCCTTACCATCTAAGACCTGTCTTATCCCATAATTTGGGAGACCTGGTGCTCTCCATGGGCCCTTCCAGAGGGGCACTGGGGCTTTCCTGTCTCACCATCTGGGGCTTCCTCCTTCAAAGGCTAGTGTCAGGGGGTGGGGAAGGTTGTTGACTTGCCTCAGCCCCCTCCGTGACCTCTGCCTCTCTCCTCAGTCCCCCTGGTGCGACACATGGAGTCTCGGATCATGATCCCCTTGAAGATCTCTCCTCTCCAGTGATGCTGCTGACACCTCCACCTCCTTCCCCTTCTGCCTCAAGGCAACCCAGACAGAGGAGCTCCTGGTCCTGCTGTCTTGGTTTACTCTTGGCTCTTGGGAGGACTGAGGGGCAGTGTTCAGCTAAGACAAGGGGGAACTGAAGGCTGACAAGGTTCTGATGACATAAATCTCTGCCCAGACTCTTCCTGCCTTCCCCACCTGCCTCCTTTCTCCTGCTGGAAGTAGTTTCTAATTTCCCTGAATGAAGAATAGCAATCTTTTAGGTCTTCTTTATCTCCTCCTAAGATTCCTCATCTCAAGACCATCAGGCCCCAACGATCATCATGGAAATCCTTGGTTTAGCTTAGTTGCACAAAAGGTAGCATGTTCAGTGGTTAGAGGTGGCCTGGGAAGAAAGGGGGTCAGGCCAGGCCCTTGGGGATTCCCTGATCTCCACTGGGCCACCCACTTGATCGACAGTCTGAGCCAAGTCCCTCCTGCTGAGGAAAAGCCTGGAATTGCCACAGAAACCCCTCAAATCAGCAAGGTCCAAAGGAGGTCTGGACATTCCACCCAGAGATGCTGGGAAAAGTGATGGGGAGCCAGGAAGGATTTAGGCAAGAGACAGACATGTAACAGGAATGCAGAACATAGAACTCAAGAATTTAGAACTTTGGTTGGAACTGCAGAATTTGGAATTTGGAACAAAGAATTGGGAAGGTAGAACAAAGGTGACAGAATACCATTTGGGGTATACTAAATAGATGGAGAGTGGCTTGTCAGTTTCTCCCTACATATAGGAGTTGAGAACTGGAATGTGTAGTTCAGTCCTTCTGTGCAGGGAGACTCTCCTGCCCTCCATCCTTCCTAAAGGCAGAAGTACAGGCCAGGGCCTGTATTTCCCACATCCTGCATTCCTTCTCCCCCACTTGACATTCTGTGAGCCCAACCCTCATTCTACAGGGCCACCAGGTATGTGGAGTGGAGTCAGTGACTCTGGGGGGGGGTCTTCTCAGTGACTCCCCATACCTCATGAACCTTTGGATAGCTTGATTCTGCCTCCCTTCCAAGAAAACTTGTGTTGAAATTGCTGATGGAACCGATTAAATATTTACTATAAACCGCGGTGTCTTTTCTTCATCTGGAAGGAAGAAAGGTGCCCAAGGCAGGGCAGAACAGAGCTGGTGGGCTTCCCAGTCCCACATGCAAATCTACCCCTTAGACAGTATTGTGTTCCTGATGTATTCTCAGGGAGGGCATCTTCGTCCTCACCCCAGGGCAAAAGAAACTGGCGGTGTATAACCACGTATTTAGGACACATGTTACTAGTTCCGGATAAGTAGGACTTACATGAAAAATCTTGGAACCTGTTTGTACAATTCATGCCAAGGGTGGAAAACGCTTGAAGCTTTCAGATAACTAAATTAGAGTTGTGACTCTGTCCTGGGCAAATCGGGCCTAACATGGAGAAACTGGAGATGCGCCTCCAACAAAACAAAAAAAGTGTAAAATGGAGCTAATGCCCTCCCTAACTTGTCTTCATTGGTGTGGCATATGATGGCAAATATGATAGCAGGTAAGAAGCCAGGTTATGGAGGCAAATCCATTCACTAGGGTCCAAATCTTGGCGCTACTGCCCTCGCGTTATCTTGGGCATACCAACAACCGCTTAGCGGAGCGCCCACTAGTTGCTGGGTGCTGCTTTAAGCGTGGGGAAAGTGAAGAAGGCACTTAAGAGTCTTTGCCCTTACAGCCTCAGTGTCCCAGTTTTAGAAGGCAGAGTAGGGGTGATAGCTGGTTGGGACTCGCCGCCTACTTGCTCGCCCGCCACCAAACCACGGTCCCCACCATAAATCTCGCGCCAGCGGCCGCTGGCGTTCTCCGCGCGTCGCTTCCGGCTGACCGCTCTTTCCTTTCTTCCGCTTCTCTATGGTGCCCGGGCCGCAGTCTCCGCGCTGCCGGAAGTGGCCTGTACGCGGGCACTGGAGCGCGGAGCTGTGAGGTGAGGAGGGTCCCGGGTCCGCGGGGCTGGGAGGGGCGGGGCTCTCCGCGACTGAGGTGCTGACTGCTCTAAGTGCGCCCCCAGGCTGAGGTCCAAGCTGGCTTCTCCATCCTCACTATCTGGGGTGCCCGGCGGTTCGCGTCGGCGCTGTGCTGTTACTTCATCTGAAAAATGTTTGGTGCAGCATCCTCGGACCCCAGATGGTATCACCATCTTTTTCTTTTTTTCCCCTCACGGGGAATGTAGAACCTCCAAATTCACTTTGAGGGGCACAGCCACAGCTCCCCAAAGGCGACGAGATCCACTTGCCGTTTGCACCTCTGTGGTAGCACCATCTTGATGGTGGTGACGATATCGCCTGCTGACGACGGTGGTGGTGGTAACAGCTCATGTTTAGTGTGTACTTCTGCGTGCAGGCACTCCACTGTGTTGCCAAAGCCAGGATTTCCCACGCTTAAGTTTTTTGGGTCCCACTTTTGTGAGTTTTGCCAAATCAACGTACCACCTGTACGACTTTTTGTTTACTAAAGGTTTTTAATCCAGCCACTTTTTAAACTTAAATTTACTTTGAGAGAAAACTCTAAGTCTCTCCACCATAAATGAAAAACTGCTTTCACTTGTCTTATGCAGAAGGAAATGATAAAAATTTGTATATTTAATATGATAAAGATAAAAGTTAATATGTTAATATAACAAAAACAGATAATCGTTAACAAATTCTGGCTAGATTTTGTTGTCTAAGGCCCTGAGACAGAGTTCTTTTGTTATAGACAGACTGGGGCACTGAGATGTTCTCCTTGGAGCAATCAGAAATTTTAAAAGAGGATTGAAAAGGTATTAACTTTCTCCTTAGGTGTTCAGCATTATTTAAGATCACCTATGCACCATCTAAAGCCCCAGTGCCAGGCCATCGTCATCACCTTCCCCGGTGGAGTGCCTCCTGAGGTAGGGAATGTTAGTCTCATTTGATTTGTGAGGAAACACACCTAGAGACAAGTGAAATGACTTGTCGCAGGACTCATAACCATCAAATTACAGTAGCGTGGAGATTAAAACTTAGGACTCTCTGACTTCTGCTATTGTCTCCCTAAAGTATTGACAGATTGATTGGGGTTAAGGGGACGGTGCTGCCCACTTCAGGAGGCTGTGGTAAGGTGGCAAGGGAGGTTTCTTTGTGACCCTAGAGCCCCATGAAACGTAGGTTCTGTTCTTTAAGATTTAGGGTCGACCAGGGAGTCGATGGCATTGCCAGATGAGATGCTCGCAAGACTAGGCATCAGGCCGGGCGCGGTGGCTCACACCTGTAATCCTAGCTCTCTGGGAGGCCGAGGTGGGCGGATTGTTTGAGCTCAGGAGTTCGAAACCAGCCTGAGCAACAGCGGGACCCCGTCTCTACTAAAATTAGAAAGAAATTAATTGGACAACTAAAAAATAGATAGAAAAAATTAGCCGGGCATGGTGGCGCATGCCTGTAGTCCCAGCTACTTGGGAGGCTGAGGCAGGAGGATCGCTTGAGCCCAGGAGTTTGAGGTTGCTGTGAGCTAGGATAACGCCATGGCACTCTAGCCCAGGCAACACAGTGAGACTCTGTCTCAAAAAAAAAAAAAGACTAGGCATCAGATGGACCCAAGTTTTAGTATACTAGCCATGTGACCTTGGGCAAGTCCTTCACCTTCTGAGCCTCAGTTTCATCATCTGTAAAATGGTAGTAGTTCTTATTATAAGGATCAAATGAGAACATACCCATAAAGTGCTTAGATCAAGGCCCAGCACACAGTGACCAATCAATAGTATTGGGAATGGGCTTATATGCCAGACTGAGAGTTTGGGTGCTAATTTATGGAGCACTTTGCCAGCCTCATGGGGAAGAGAGCAGAGCTCACAATCTATTAATAGGTAGAAAATGGTTCAAAGAGATAAATTCCCTAATAGTGTATCCAAAGTACCCAAAGGGGTGCCTTGGGGAGACCTGAGAGGCCTCCTAGAGTAGGTGAGCATTGCTTAGTCTTGAAGGTTGTGAAAGGGGAAAGGAAGAAGATCATTGTAAGCAGGGGCAAGAACGTGGAGTGTTTTGGGAACTGGGAGTGCTATCTGCAGTTGCATCCAGGAGCAGAGGCTGGGGGCAGTGGGAGGATTACTAGGAACAGGAAAGCAAGAAATGCGGTCAGGAAGGTGGGTTGGGGACAAACCATGAAGGGTTTTTATGCCAGGCCAGGGAATGTGGACTTCATTCTTCATTCAGTGCATTATGAGAGTCAGCAAAGGTTTTGAAACAGGAGAGGCATTAATTGGATTGGTTTTTCTTTTTTAAGAAAGAGAATTCAGACAGCATTGTTGGGCAGGACTGTTACAGTAGTCCTGGTGAGGAATGTGGAGGGCCTGACCAAGGGTGTTAAGATGAAGAGACGCGTGGTGCCTTGGATCACTGGCTGAACACCTGAATGCAGGACGCTGCTTTGGAGAGTATGAGCAGGATGTGAGGAGAGTGGGGAAGGGAGAGATTGAAGATGATTCTGAGATCAGTGGGGTGGATGGTGATGCCTTTTTTATTTATATATAT